AAAAAAACTGGGAATTGAGGTGTAAAGCAAGAAACGAAGCCACTAGACAAAGAAGACTTGCTGTAAAAAATCATTGGACCAAAAAGGCAAATGATCTTAAAAACAATCCAAGGGATTTCTACAATACATTCAAGCCATTTATAAGCACCAAAACAAACTCTGGATGTGAACAAATACATTTGAAATCTGATGACAATATCATCAAAGACCAATCTCTCGTCGCGGATTTATTAGTGGACCATTTTGCCACTATAGCAGATGACATTGGGGGTGATGCAGCTAAGCTGAAAGAAATTGATGATTTTTATAACCATATCAGTGTCAAACAAATCAGGGAGAAACAACGTGATGTAAAACAGCCCATTTCGATCATGGCTGTTACTCAAAAACAAGTATTTGATGAACTTGAATCTCTCAACACTAGGAAATCTACCGGTAGCGATAACATCTCTGCTAAAATCCTAAAGCTTGGCGCTGAAGAGCTGTCGGAACCTCTTACCACACTTTTTAACTCATGTATCAAAAAAGGCATCTGGCCAAGTGTGTGGAAAAAGGGAGACTGGACTCCAGTACACAAGAAAGATGATAAACTTTTAATAGAGAATTACCGACCGATAACTACTCTTCCTTGTATAAACAAAATGCTTGAAAAGCTGATTGGTAAACAAATCACAAAAAGTTTTGCTCCAAACATGTACAAGAACTCAAACGCTTACAGAAAATATTACAGTTGCGAAACTACTTTAATCAATCTTATAGAAGCCTGGAAGAAAGCTAAAGATGACAAGAATGTCATTGATATTTTATCAACTGACATGTCAAAAGCATTCGATTCACTTCACCCACCTCTGTTATTGAGCAAACTGAAAGCGTATGGTTTCGACGAAAATGCGATCAAGCTACTTAACAGCTATCTCCACGGAAGGTATAATCGTGTTAGGATAGGTAAAGAGAACAGTTCCTACAGACTAGTTGAACGGGGATGCCCCCAAGGATCTGCCTTGGGACCTCTTTTATGGAATATCTTCCAGAACGATCTGCCTATGTTTGTGTCTGCAGAAGTGTCGATGTACGCTGACGATCACCAAATTTATCATATCGGTGCAAATCAAACTGAGGCTACAACGTCTTTGAGGGACAGCGCTGATCGCGCCACAAAGTGGTACGAAGATAATCTACTTGCAGGAAACCTTGACAAGTACCGCAGATTGAACATTGGTTTTAAGGAGGTTCAACCCAAGGATAACGCTAACCATGATATACGTTTGAACGACAAGATCATACGGAATGAGAACTCTCTCAAGCTCCTTGGTGTAACAATAGATTCTAAGATGGATTTTAGTGAGCATATCAGAGGTATTTGTATCAAAGCAAGCCAGAGAGTTGGTGTTCTAATGAGGCTACGAAACATGATCCCAATCAAAGCCAAATTGCAGCTTTACAAGGCATCCATACTACCTTACCTTACGTACTGTCACCTTGTATGGCATTTTTGCAAAGCTAGTGACACTAGGAAACTAGAACGAATTCAAGAAAGGGCCCTTAGGGCCATATTCAAAGATAAGAAATCTAATTACCACGAGCTTTTAAAAAGGGGTAGGCTTCAAACCCTACAAAATAGACGCTTACAGGACATTTGTATCCTTATGTATAAAGTAAAAAATGGCCTATGCCCAAGCAATATATCGAATATTTTCAGTACTCATAGTTCTAACTATAACCTTCGGCAAAATGATTTTTTGAGGCCTAGATTCAATACGGTAAAATTTGGTAAGCACTCTATAAGATATCTTGGCCCTAAACTATGGGCAAACCTGCCTGTGGACGTCAGGGAAGCGGGTAGTCTCGGAGTATTTCAAACTAAAATACGTCGACTGACTTTAAATAATAATGACAATTGCAACGGATGTAATCTGTGCTCCGAGTGATCATGGTATCTAGTCTATCCTAGTCTCTTTTTTTTTCTTTAAAGGTTACATCTATATTCCTATATTATCTATATTATATTTTCAGCTATATTTTTTATATTTTTATATTAAATATATATAGGGTATTAAACCTAAGTAATATTTTCAGCTATATTTTTATATTTTTATATTAAATATATATAGGGTATAAAACCTAAGTAATATTTTTTCAAACATTTATATATTTTATCATATATAATTATATTTTCGTTTCGACTTCTTTTCTTTATGTTGTGTCCCCTAATTAGTAAGATGCTTGTCATCCAGCTAGATGGTTATTTGACACGTTAATAAAGTTTCTATTCTATTCTATTCTATTCTATAGATTAAATCGTCACGTCGCAGCATCCATGGTGCCTGGTATAAATATCAAATATCATTAAACATTGTGCTATATATATGTATGTGAATTGTCATAATGCAACAGGCTACAATAAAGGTTCACAATGCCTTAAACCAGCAATTACCCAGTAGTAAATATTCATTTCTGGGGAGATTCTGTATTAGGGAGTGTATGCGAATAAAGTTCATTAGTCAACTTAAACGGACATGGACCTTCGAACGATGCTAGCTCTTTTTACTAATGAACAAATTTCTGATATAATCTTCCTTTTCCTGTTTTACCAAGCTGTGAAAATATAATTAATTTTATTCAATTACTGCAATTTTCATTGTGTTTTGATGCCCTTTTATCATACGGTGAAGCTGAAAGCGACTAACATCAAATTGACACCCGGCATCAATATTGGTGTTGCATGATAATATATTATGTAAGAAAATGGTTCTTCATCGCCGATCTCAATAATATTATCCTAAACATCCCTCGGGGCTGGTGCATTAAACAGGTTAAGAAATAATGGCAATGCAATGCTTATTGCACTAAACCTTTAATCCGTTTACACGAGCACCGACCAAATTAAACAAATCTGGTGTCGCGTTTTCATATTTTTGTACATTTATATTTGTCTGGCCGTAGCGTTGTGAATCGTGAAGATTTCTTATAATATTGACATGTACGTATGCAATACATATTTTGGATCATTATTATTATTTTTTCATTTACATGCATAAACATTTTTACGGCTCAGTGAATGCTTTATGCGCACTCGGTTATCATATCTTCCTTAATTTTGTTATAGACTACGCTGAGATGATGTACATTTATCATTGAATTTGTA